GCTAAGAGATTTGCAAGGCTGGATTTGACTGAATCGGTGCCTACGTAAGGCATGCAAAAGGTAGCATTTCAAATTTCAAGGGCTAAAGCGCTCAGAGAACTTCTGCTCTGTAAAGGTCCGAAAGGACAGGGGAAATGAGTCAATTACCAATTACCATTCAGAGGAGAGAGACCAAGCAGTGCTTAGTTGCTAAGGGCTCTCTCCCTCTCCCTCTCCCTCTCCCTCTCCCTCTCCCTCTCTCTCTCTCTCTCTCTCTCTCTCTCTCTCTCTCACACACACACACACAGACCACTCACACAGGTTCCTTTGCCCTCCTGCAGCTTCCTTCCCCACAGCATTGCTCCAGGCACTTCAATTAGCTCTCTTTGGTATTAAGAGTTCAGCTAGAGGAGAAGCAAAAGTAGCTTTGGTAATGGAGGTAATGGACTATGTGGGATAACTTGCCAGAGGATTACCGTATTTTTCGCTCTATAAGACGCACCAGACCACAAGACGCACCTAGTTTTTGGAGGAGGAAAACAAGAAAAAAAATATTCTGAATCTCAGAAGCCAGAACAGCAAGAGGGATCGCTGTGCAGTGAAAGCAGCAATCCCTCTTGCTGTTCTGGCTTCTGGGATAGCTGCGCAGCCTGCATTCACTCCATAAGAGACACACTTATTTCCCCTTACTTTTTAGGAGGGAAAAAGTGAGTCTTATAGAGCAAAAAAAACAGTACCTGCACGGTCCCCACAGCTGAACTTAGGCTTCTGCTTTCACCAGGAGTGGGGCAGAGCCTGATTTAAACACAGGCTTTCTCAACCTCAGCCCTCCAGATATTTTGAGACTACAATTCCCATCAGCCCTGACCACTGGTCCTGCTAGCTAGGGATCATGGGAGTTGTAGGCCAAAAACATCTGGAGGGCCGAGGTTGAGGAAGCCTGTTTAAACACATTGGTTTTAGCCATCATCACATCTAAGCTGGTAACCAGGTGTTGCACTGATGGCCAAAGAGCTCCTCCTCTTCCTCCAGGCCTAACCAGAGAGTTTAATGAACTTGTGAAAGCCACAGAACAACACAGGAGTAGGAAATCTTTTCCAGCCTGAGGACCACATGCAGTTCTGGGCAATCTTCCAGGGGCCACTGGTCAGTGGTGGTCAGGGCCACAGGCAAAAGTGAACAGCAATGAATGTCAGTGTTGCCTTTGTGCAGTAGGCTAGTTTCTACACACGCACACAAACACACCATCCTTCTCCATTTTTTCACCCAGGCAAGTAACAAACATTAACAGAGTTTGAGGACACATTCCAGCCAATCAGAAACACTCAAGGAGGGTGCAAAGCGTGGCCGGTGAGGGGTGTGGCACTCCAAGAGCCAGAGAGAGACACCAGAGAAGTGCATTGAAAAATTTGGAGAAGAGCCAGTTTTTAAGGGTTGCTGCATTGCAGTTTGCATCTTTTCCCACAAAAGTGCAAATTAGGCAAGTCCATCTTTAAATGCAAACTGAATCTAATCTCTCCTCCACCCCTGTCCTTTACACAATTTCCCATTTACATCCATAACTGAGAATTAGTCATCTTTACACCCATTGCTTACTAAAATGGATCTAAACCATAAAAAACCCCAATACAGCATAAAGGTACACCTGATCAAAACCAGCATTTATTTACTCTGATTTTTTTCCCTCATTCTTCCTTATGGTGCCTGTTTCCTTGGCATAATACCTCATAGGGCAGGTGGGCTGGAGAAAAACACATTATTGCAGTTCCCCAATCTCTCTGCCAGCAAATATTGAAGCACAGAGGAACACTGCTTTTGTGTTTTGCAGTTTCAAAAGTACAGTAAATGAAAAATTCTCTTTTCTGTTTCAAACCAATTTGAGTTCCCTGCCTCTCTTACAAAGGCATTTCTTCACTTTTTTTCGGTTTTGCTGATCGGAAATGCTTTTCACTTTTGTGAACGTTGCATGGATAAGACGGTATGAGAGCTCACTAGTGTGTACTTATCCCTGGGGTACTGCATTCTAACCCAAAATGGTTGGTGAACGAAGACAAGTAGACAGGACAGTTTCTAGGATAGTACATAGCTGTCAAGTGTCCTTTATTTGAAGGGACAGTCCCTTATTCCAGCGCCATGTCCCACTGCTGTCCCTTATTGATGGATGTCCCTTAAATGTCCCTTAAATGATGTCCCTTAACTTTCAAAGGAAGCAGCTCCTCTCCCTCCCTCCCTGCCGGCCAGGGAGGAGGGAGGCTCCAACTGTGTTGCTTGGCTGTGTTGCTCACCCATTAAGAAGTCTAAGAACGACTGGGGGGTGGAGCTTGCATGCCTTGTGTGTGGCTAGTTAATGCAAGCTGAGGGGTTTTTGAATGCTGGACGCCATTTTGTTGCACATGCTGCTGCAAACTTTGCAGTGCAAAGCCAGGCCGGGGAGCCATCTTAAGTTGAGGGTGCATAGGCCTTGTGGTGCATGTGATTCAGATTCTATTCAGTTGAACCTCAGGTTACAAAGTTGGTTGGACAGTGTTCTCGAAGCTACCAGCATGAGTTTGACCAGACTGCAGGAGGACAGGAAGACTGGAGTGCCTGGAACAGGTAAGGCTGTAGGTCCCTTATTTTGGCTGCTGGCCCCTTATTTTCAAGGCTGCTGCTCCCTTATTTTCAAATCTGTAAGTTGACAGCTATGGGATAGTAACAACAGCCAAATAACTGAGATTGCCTCCAGACTTTTGGAGGACAGTTTCAAACACAGGTTTGTGCAATTAAAGTGGATTACAGTTGTCATATAAACTTCCCACAAACAAATCAGGATAAATGCTCAGTATAGACCAAATGCACACTCTAACCTCTGCACAGGTTTTGCGTAAGTAAATTAGGATAAATACTCAATAAACAGCTCATCTGGAGGAGCCCAGAGACACTTCCAGGAAGTGAAAAGCACTATGCCTACAAAAGACAGGTAGAAAACAAATTGGGGCAATTGTCTTTTTACAGGTAGTGTAATCTCAGTAGTATGGAAGCCACTTGAAAATGTTATCACCGCTTCAGATTGCAGTTGTTCACACAGTCAGCTCCCAATGAATTTGCAATGATTTTCCAAGATAGAACTAGCATGAAAGGAGCAAAAAAGTACTGTCCACAAACAGATTCCCAAGCAGGGCACCCACTCTGCTGTTTTCTGTTCAGGCAGCTACTGTGCTATTGACTTCTATGCATGAATTGGACCTCAAGCAATATCTTGTTCCTGCCAAGCAAGCATGACAGAGCTCACCAGCTCTGCCTCAACCCATCTCCAATCACCTGCTGTTCAAAAATCCCTGGACATGGTTCAATGGATGGAAGAAGAGAGAGGAGGAGAGATTTTTATGTAAGGAGAGAGGAATCAAGATCCACTTGTTTTTCTCTTAGTTTGCTGTAACCAAATGTTCCAGGTTTTTATTTTTTCTTTGCTTGTTTTTCTTTGATACGTAGAATCTTAATAAACTGTTCTTAAAAACTAAATGAGTGGGGGAGAGATTCAGCTGCTTTTAAGATCACTTGTTATTTCCTCTTTCTTTTTAATTTCATAGGAACTATCACAAGGATACCTATACAGTGGTACCTTGGGTTACAGACGTTTCAGGTTACAGACTCTTCAGGTTACAGACTCCGCTAACCCAAAAATAGTACCTCTGGTTAAGAATTTTGCTTCAGGATGAGAACAGAAATCGTGCTGCGGCGGCAGCGGCAGTGGGAGGCCCCATTAGCTAAAGTGGTACCTCAGGTTAAGAAAAGTTTCAGGTTAAGAACGGACCTCCAGAACGAATTAAGTTCTTAACCCGAGGTACTACTGTACATTTCCTACAGTTACATCCTCCACCCTTTGAATCAAAGGGTTGTGTGCCTTTGGCATACATATCTAGCTCATGGATTGTTCTGTGGCTTTTACATGTCTCTCACTTTTTATGAAAGGGGGGGGGGGATAATTACTTCAATGCCAAATGTTTTGGCCATTGTGTGAGTGCCTGTGAAATTATTGCTTTAATAAACAATTACACATTACAGTAGCGTCTGTTCTTCATGCAAAGCTACTAGCTGACCAAGGCCTAACCTTTTAAAAAATTAGTCTAATTAGTCAAGAGACTAAAGCAACCACATGAATGCATTCTGGTGCTGTTTTGTTGTGGGAAGTCAGGGAGATGGTCAGTTTTGAAACTGCATTTTAAAACATCTCCTAAGAGGCTTAAAATTAATAGGCTCTGGCTGAGCAACTTTCAGCCAACAGGACTGGTATGAAAAATCCCAAGAAAACATTAGTAGCAAATGTATAGGGAAGGTTCTACTGTGGGACTAGTATTACTAGTGTTAAGAGAGTAATTAAGCATATAAATGGGGGAGCTTTGTCCACCTGAGGGAAACATTCTCTTCTGGGCAACCTTCCAAGGCCACATGCCAGTGGTGGGAGGGGCCAGAGGCAAAAGTGGGTGGAGCAACAAATGAAAATGTCACCCTATATGGTTTGGGACCCAAGTAATCTAAAATAGTGCCCTTCCCAATACCAAGCATCTCGGGCCTTATGATCAGCATAGGAAACTCTGTTGGTGGTGGGGAGGTGGTGTCTCCATTGGATGGAGGTGAGCCATGACAGGGCCTTCTCAGTGGCGGCCCCTCATTTGTGGAATTCACTCCCTAGTTAGGTGCATAAGTCTCCCTCACGATTACATTTTAGGAGAAATTAAAACAGTCCAGTTTACCCAGGCATTTGATGATTGAAAGTTCTGTCCCTGGTCACTGCGAAATTATTAGTGATTGCTTTTAGGAGTTTGGGGCTCTTATTTAGAAGTTCCAATTGTATTGTTTCACTGTTGACATATTTACCAACCTGGGCTCTTTTGGAGGATGGTGCAGGATATAAATTCAATGAATAAATAACTGTTAAGAGCGCAGCAGGTTAGTTTTGGGACACACTCACCTATCCCTCTCTCCTTCATCCAGAGAAACAAGAGACAGTATCAGGAAGGCTATGTCAGGCTATGAGAACAGCGCTAACTCATTGGTAGAGCATCTGCTTTTCATGCAGAAGGTCCCAGGTTCAGTCCTTCTGGGAAAGGCCCTTGTCAGAAATCCTTGAGATCTGCTTGCCATCTATGGCAGACAATACTGATCTTGTGGATCAATGGTCTGACTCAGTTTAAACCATATTCCTATGTTCTTAGATCTCCATGCCAGGTGGTGCTCCAAGCAACCTGGAGACAGAATAGACTAGAATAACCCAGCATGGTATAGAAACTGAAAAATCAATCTTGTCAGTTTTCTGGACTAGCTATTGGAGCTTGATTGTGCCTGAACCTGTTGCCAATGCTCAGAGAAACCCACTGTGCCATATAGAATGCTCACACCATCTGTGCATTTAGCAGAGGGAGGCAGTGCTAAAGAAGCCCATCAGCACCAACCTGATATTTGTTGAGCTGCGTTTTGGGAGCAAAACATAAAAGAGATTTGGGAAGTGTTTAAACCTTAGTGGACAATGACTTCTACTTCTGCTTCTTTGAATCCACACTGTGGGTGCAGAAGTTAAGCAGCGGATAACAAGCTCTTTCGGAAGTCCACAAATGGATTTTGGGGAAAGGAGTTGCTTTTGCTACTTCAATATATACACTTCCCTTTCGTATTGATTTGAAGTGTAAGTGAACATTCTGTGTTCAGCTCCTGCTGGCTCGGAAGGTACCTTTCAATTGTGTGCAATTGTTTGTCTGCCACATCTGTTTTTGAGATTTTCACGCTAAGAGAGAATGCTTAACTCACTTAAGTACAGGTTGAAAGCAAAGCCATTCATTATTTCATGCTGTTTAATTTAGTATGGAAAACAATGAATTGTTAATAAGGGACACTCATCAAATTCTCATAAGCTGATTTATTTATACAATGATTTGCTTTTCTTCCTCTCGTGCAATGTTAACAAATCCTGCTAATTCAGCTTATTGTTGAATAGTAGAATGTTAATACTACAGCTTATTCCTCTTCTTAGCTAGATTTTGTTCATTACCCTCCACCCCACACACAAACTTTTGTTTATATTCTACTTCTTTAAAGCTTGCTTTCATGGTTAAATGGTGGAAGTACTCAGCAGGCAGAAACTTGCAGAGACCCTCCAAGGTTTTCCGAGGTTTGTTCCATTCTCCAAGGTGTTAAAATCATACTTTACCATGGTTTTCATTGGGGGGATCTGCAAGAGCTAAACATGAAATTCCTTAATAAAAGACTTGCAAGATTTGTTATAGCTTATGAACATTGTGCAGTTGTCATACCTCCTTCATTTATGGGAGATGTATATTTTATTTTCAGGAACACACTCAGGACAAACTTCCGAAAGGTTGGACATATAGTGGGAGGGTGGGGTGGGGTTTTTCTCAGAAGGGTAGTAGGAAATGGGTGATTGACTCAATGGGTATGGTAAACCTGAGGAAAAACCCCACCCCACCCTCCCACTACATATAAGGGACTGGCGACTTCTGTTTCAGTGTATCTGAAAAAGTGTGCATGCAGACGAAAGCTTATACCCAGAACAAAATATATATTTCTATTCAGAGGAGGGCAGACACTGGCTAACAGCACAATCCTAACCATGTATGCTCAGCAGTAAGTCCCACTGAATCCAATGGGCATCACTTAGGTAACTGAGGTTAGAGTTGCAGCTTAAGTGATTGTAAAATAGAAATGATTTAAGGTGGCAACACGGACCTCTACCAGATTCTCTCCCCCCCCCCCAAAAGCTATAGTTTCCAAATAGTATTCCATTTGTTCCAACAGTCTTCTCAATTGAGGAAAAGGTTGGAAGAAGCCAAAAAGAGAACTGCAGGGAGGAGGCAACTATTATGCCTTAAAGTCTGAGAATAAGCAGGATGGGTTAAAAGCAACCAACTCCTGAAATGTGCTACAAGGTCAGATGCAAGCACTGCAGAAAAACCCCAATGTAAGTATAAGCAGACAAAGACAAAGATCACGGACCAGCCAGAAGTCCAAGTGCAGTCTCACTAAATTAAAAACACACTCATCATCTGTCAGTGAATGTAGGTACCTGTATAGCATCCCTGTGGCAGCTTTGACAGTTTGTTGTATCAACAATCCATGCATGAGCAAAAACTTCTCCAGTAGCTTTTGTTCTGCTGGGCTCCTTAGTTCTCCAGGCCAGCATCTTACTGGAAGGCAGACTTTAGGAACCATTTTTTGCCTCGTATCCTTCAAAGGGGTTTCACTAGACTTCTGCACACCTCTTTTTGGGGGTGGGATATCAGTACACACTGGCTTGTACAGATTCATCTTCTACTGTAAAAGCCAAGAGCTAAACCCCACACCGCTCAGGTGTCAGTGTGGTGTAGTGGTTAAGAGCAGTGGACTCGTGATCTGGTGAACCGGGTTCGCTTCCCCGCTCCTCCACATGCAGCTGCTGGGTGACCTTGGGCTAGTCACACTTCTCTGAAGTCTCTCAGCCTCACTCACCTCACAGAGTGTTTGTTGTGGGGGAGGAAGTGAAAGGAGATTGTGAGCCGCTTTGAGACTCCTTAAGGGGAGTGACAGGCGGGATATCAAGTCCAAACTCCTATTCCTCCTCCTCTTCTGTCCACAGGCTTCTCTAAGAACCTCTCGCCATTATGCTTCTGTTTTCAGAAAATGCTGTTTGCCCACTAGATCCCCAGAAGATACTGCTCCATATTTTCCATCCAGTCCCCCAGTAGGTTCTGCTTACCATCTCATTTTAATGGATGCATAAAATGAACCACATGGTCACAAATGGTCAAAGGGAGCTGGGAACTGCCATGGGAATAGAATGCCAACCCAGTTTCCCATGCAATTATATTTAGATAAAGAAAAATATGTTTGTTTGGGATTCAGCCCTCAGTTCCAGGCTCCCACAGAGTTTATTTAAAGTCAAGATTGATTGTGTCGTTCCCAAATATCTAATAATAATAATAATAATAATAATATAGTTGTTATTTCTTTGTTGCAAAGAAACTAAATGTATTTTTCCTAAAGGTGGTTCATACCTTGTAGAATGTGATAGTTTCCCCAGTGCTGAACTTGGAATGTTTTCTTGCTGAAAATAGTTCACCCCTCACCTGCCAATCTATTCTGAGATGTGGTTGTGAGCTTATCGTGAGTTTGCTATGTCATGGTTTGGTGCCTGTGATGTCATTAGTGATGAGTTCACTTCACAATCTTATCAGTCTCCATTTCTAACCCTTTTCTATTGTAAGAACGTCTTTGCAGTAGCTAAACTTCCCCCTCTGTATCACCAGAGGGCAAGACTGTTCACATAGCCTCAACATTTTGTGAACTTTCCTTATTACTGACCTAGGCCTTTGAAGGCTAGGGCTCCATTGCTGCAGGACATATATATATATATATATATATATATATATATATATATATATATATATATTTTAAAAAAGAAAAGTTAATTTGATCACCTCTTCAGCAAGGCTACCCCTCCCCCCAAAAAATGGTGAAACCAGCAGTGCACCTCTAATCACACCTACTCAGAAAGAAGTCCACATGAAATAAATGGGGCTCACTCCCAGGTGGGTGGGGCTATTATTTGTGAAACACCTTCCACATATATGCCCCAGGGTGATTTACGGATGTATTATTTAAAGCAGATACAGATGTATCATTGGATCAGCAGGTTCATAGGTTTATGAACCAACACTAAAGGCAAGAACTTTCTCAACAAAGCTTGTTGAAACTACGATGTACCTAGTTGTTTCCAGATGGTACAGATAGCTATTGATGATATTTATTTCACAGCCTTAAAAACTTTCCCAGGTTCTATCAATGCCGTTGAGTGAGATGTTCTATTGGTGCTTCCCAAAGTAGCCTCTGGTACACCTCTTGTGTATTGGCTATTCCGCCGCTGCCACCACCACCACCACCCAATAAGCTGAGGTACAGCATCAGACCCTTGAGAAGAATGTTCTCCTTTCTGGAATAAACATTCACAGAAGCTGGAATAACCTTGCCTCAGGCATTTACGGCTCTGGGGAGCTGTGTTGTAATAGCCAGGCCATCCCTAACCCGGTCTTTCTTTCTGTCAGTAATCCATCAAACAGAATGTCATTAGATAATCAACTCATCTGATGATGATTCATGGCCTCAACTAATCTCTAAATCTTTCAAAAGCAGATCAGTCAAGATTGATCTGCAAAGAGAACATGCTTTGGAGACGATTATATTTCCGTGCAACGGAGAGACTTATTCCTGCTTTGCAAGCAGTGGTTGACCAATAACCTGTGGGATTTCGATGACCTTGCCAATGCCAGTTGTTGAAATGTTTCACCAAGGTCTTATCTCCAGTTCCTGGTTATAATGCATAAGGTCAAAACTTGTTTTTAACATCTGCTTTGGAAACCTGATAGATATTGTTGTACTGTCTGCCAGTTGGACAGAATTCCAGCAGTCAGGCTGATATTCCAGCTTGCACATTGAGCAGGAACATCCCCATCTTGGACACACTGACAGTTTTCAAGTCTATAATTTAGCAACACACCTTCACTCTCCTGTTCTTTCTTATTTAGGATATGTTCATAGATCTGTCACTTTGGGGAGCTGTGCTGAAGGCAGTTGTATGATGCCACAGAGGTCATTGCAATGAACCGCTTTACTCCGAATGGCTAATCTTGTCTTGTCTGCTTGGGGAATTAGCAAGAGCCACACCATTTACTATGATTAAAATATATACTTATGCAAAGTCGTTGGCAATGAGTAAAACGACTTTGTGGCTTAAGTACCAATACAAAAATATGATCTAGCACAGGTACCCCAAACTCATATTGCCTGAAGCATTCGATGCTTATTAATCAAAATGTGGGAGAAATTTCAAAGCGCCAACATCAACTGCAGGCTTCTGCTATTGATCCAAGAACTATACAGCAACACAGAAATGAGGGTCAGAGTAGGTTCAAATGGTGGTGTGACAAATACTTTTTAAAAAACTGCAAGAAATGAAGCAAGGTTGCCTTCTAGTTCTCACTCTTTTTAACTTTTACATTTATGATTTGATGCAATATGTAGCCAATGCAAACTCCCCCTCTCCAGTAATTAGGAACATATGATTTA